TTTTTAATAAATTTATATTTACTTATATAAATAAATTATAACTAACCTAATAAAATTTATCATATAAGTTATATTTAATATTCAATTTATAAATTACTGTAAATATCGGTTAATTAAACCAAATTGGATATTAGTAAAGCTAATGTTAATTAAATTATTTTAATTAGAATTAAGTGCTACTATACTTAGATAATTTTAATAATTACCTAAATAAATAATTTAACTGCAGTTTAAACTATTCGAAGCACTGTCACATATATTAATTAAGAATATAGCAAGAGAAAAAAAAATCTTACTCATTAATATCTACTCCAGCCTCATACTGCATTAAGATATAATAGCAATAAAGTACTTTATATTTGTTTTTAAAGCTCTTTATAATTCCTGCATCCATTGGCTGCAAGTGAGCTGTTATAGATGGTAGTAAAAATGCAATTTTAATATTAGTTAAATTTAGTGAACTTTTATAATTTCGTTTATGCTTTTTTTGCTTATTATTTGATTTGTGTTTTTTGTGAGATACTCTAGAGGATGAACCAACAACATTGCTTAATTCAGCTTCCTCATCTTCAGAATCAGAATTGGCTTTATTTTGATCAGTAGGTTCTTCATTTGGATTAAAGTGAGAGGCAGCATTATCAAGTAGCGAAAAAATTTTTGTCTTAAACTCGAAAATAATAATCTAATTGTTTAAGCCATTCTTTAAATATATCAGTACACATCTATGCTGTTTTATTTGCATGGTATTCAACAGGAAGAGAATTTAGGTTGATACGTTTGAAGCATCGTAGGCGTGGTGACTTGCCAATTACCCATGGTTTAAGATAATGTGTTCCTGTAGCATTAATGCCAAGCAAAACAGTAACTCTTGTTTTATCCTAAAAGTAATTTTATAATTAGATAAATCTTTATTTAATATCATTAATTATACTATTGGCACAGTTATTATATCTTAAAAATTGTTTAAATAATAAAGGCTAGCTAGATACAGGGTTATAAAATTATGGTAATTTAATGTAAGTTACCAAAATGGTAAGTTACTGGGTAAGTTACTGTAAGTTACCGTGAAAGTAATCTATGCTTTATTTCGAAAGTCAC